AATTTCCTTCCTTATTTCACCTTTCTGTCTGCTTCCTGTTTTCCATTCCTTCCTGTCTTCCTCATTGTCTCTTTCTTTTTCACTGCTTCTTCTCTGCCTGCATAGGATTTAGGAGAGCCCACGAAACCCTTTCCTTCAAAGGGACCCGTATCGTTTCGAGACAGAATGTTGCAATTACTAATTCACCCGACCCTCGATGCACAAGCCTTGATATGATGTAACGCAGATCATAGGTTAACTGTACAACCTTCCAAGAGCAGATTATAGGCCTGTTAATTCCACGGTTTAACACGCCGCGTGAAGTGCGAAGACTCGTATATAGGCTCGAGTGATCATAATGGTAAGTTGAGAACGATGTGGGAGGGAACGGCCATGGTCTTCTGTCTGTTACGACGAACGGTTTTGGAATAATATCAAAAACATTTGTCGGGTTAGCAGGTCTTCTGCACAGGATTCGAATCGCTTACCGCCCACGTACAAGAGTCTACACTGACCTCAGTTGTGGCGTTTTTTGCAAAAAAAATATATCTTACAAAACATTTCATTCCTTAGTCTCGCTTCTGAAACGAAATTTCTGACATCCTCCACAATGCGACATCACTTCTGTTGGTCCAGTATACCGCTTATTAACCAATCAAGACATCGGATGTTATTAACATGCTACCATTTAATCATTAATGATTTTACAAGCTAAAGCACAATTGGTCCTACAATGGAGTGATATAATTTAATTTTTGTCGATGTTGATCTTTCGGGTTGTAACGCCGCGTGGACCTGTAGGTAGATACCAACATCTCGGAGAAACATCTTCAGGGCTGGAGCCTTTAATATGGATGCAAAATGTTCTTCCGTATAGTAATATCTACTTGCAAGTCCTTAAGGCTTTACTACCCAGAAGATCAACATCGACATTCGCATGATACCCAAGAATGTAGCGTGCGTGCAACAGGCCGTGTATGCCTTTAAACGGAGCGACTGTCCACTGGGATCGGCTGTTGAATAAATCTTCTGAACGTACTGCGCAGTTGCTGATGCACGGGTGGACAAGTCGTCATTGTGAATGGAATCTTATTGGCTTGCTGTCGGCAACGGATTCAGGGCTCCCACGTGGCTCTCATTCACTTCTAGTCGACCGGGAAAGCTGTAGTGTGGGCTACTACCGAGGGGACATTTCTCGGAAACGTTACGTTATATAAATCATACATTTACTAGTTCTTAATAACACGCTTTTTACAGCGATGGTGCGTAACGTGTGGTATGGCCTTGTGTATGAGATGGTTGTTTTTCATCAAATATTTGCTAGGATTGGCGCCCTACAAGGAAACTGTGTGCCTTCGTCTGTACATTTTCCAGTTAAACTACAACAATCATTTTTACTAACGCCAAGAGACTGATTTTCGAAAACCCAGGAAAACAGTTATAGTCGTACTCGCCGCCGAGGGAACTTTAAATCCCACCTATAAGAACAGCATTTTTTCAGGTGGAGCTACACCTGTACTCCCCTATACGTCTGCGTCGCGTGATGCTTCGTTAAGGTCCGGGGACACCAATTTATTAAAACTCTTATAAAGCTTACTGTAAATTGGGGACCAGCGAAAATCAGAGGTAGATGCTTGGAAGCTGCGGAACGTTGACCGGCCCCAGTGTGTTGTGAATGGCGCGTACCGAGCGTGGGAGGACCGGTGTCTTGTCTGAATGACTGAGCCCACACCGCGGTTCTTGTTTCGTTTATACTTGTTTGTTCCATCGCCCACCCCACGTGGTCTAGACCGGTTC